GTAATGTTAGTAGGTGTTCGTGTCCATTTGAGACATGACCCATTCAATTGTCTATTTGCTTTCTACAAGAGTTGCACAAATACATTTTACTCTGGTTTTGTTATTAGAAGATTTTTCTCCCAACAAATCACGACATAAACTGTCCCCGTTCAACCTCAACACCTCTTCTCATAAGAGGCTGGTTTATTTCAGCAGATACACCTGAGATCATAAAAGAGTAAGTGAGTGGAGAAGACTTGTTTCTGAGCCGGGCTGCCTTCTACGCCGATTCCAAATAAAGTATTAACTTCGTGTTAAGAATCCATTAGCATTCCCATGATTCCTTGTGCCATATGCCTCCATTATGTGACAGAACAATGGGAAAACCGAGGCGAACAACTTTGGGGAGTTGTCACATTGTGCTGAGGATTGTGTGAGAGAGAGAAACAATGAGGGAAAGAAAGGGAGTGTGCGGCAAAGGGTCGAGAGATGAAGGCTGAGCGCTACACTCCACAAAAGCTATAAATTGGCCATATCAATCAGTCTCTCACCCGGAGAGCAAATGTTTTTCTTCGCTAGTTTATTTGAAATCAAACTCTTTCTTCCACAGGCTGCGTCTTATGCTCTGAGCTATTACATGCTTCCTGTACAACATTTTGCAAGACGAAAGGCTGAAAAATATTTTCCCTTGTCATTGTAGTAAATCGAGTGTTATCTTGGGCCCATGATTTCCGTGATGCTGAAAACCTAGACAGAATTGCGGAATCCAGTCATAAAAATGGAATTCAATGTAAAACGCTGAATATAATGGAATTTGACAAAATGTGGATGAATAAATCAAAAGTAAGGCTGTACACTTAATCAAATCGCATTATGATTAATGTCTGGGAATATCAAATAACAAAACGTCTCCATGTGCTGTGTGTCAGTAGGGCTGTCAAAATGACTGAAAAACAAAATTTGAATTTTCCACTTAAATATTATAAAAATTTGAATTATATTCGAATTTAAAAGGCATAATTTCAGTTAAAGGGGAAAAAAGCTTTTGGCTTCTCTCCTGAGGCCACAAGAGGGCACATCGAGCAAAATATTATGCACGTTTCTTCAAAGCGTAATAAAATAACACGACTATCTTTGAAAAAAAGTGCATAATGTTTAAAATAATGTTTTATTATTTTATATATAATTAATAAAGCTGCTCAAACAATTAGAAAAAACCCCAGCACCATGCATGTATGTATAGTTTAATTCAAAGGACACAAAAACCAATTACAAAGAGTAGGATAGTTTCTTTATTTAAAAACATGAGATACAGTGGGATGGGGGAAAACCGCTATAAAGTCTTGAGACATGTTTTTTAAAAGTTGGAACTTACATTAATTTTACATGGCTTTCTAAACATGCCGCTCTCTTGCGCGAGACGCGAGTGCAACGCTGATAGATGCCCCGCTAGAAAATGTGATAAATATGCATTTTGTGTGAACGGCTTGGTTTCAGTTTCGTCGTAAACAACATATTTGCCACACTGATGCTTTCGTTTTCCACTATATATTGAATGAACAACGTAGCAGCGACGCATCTAGTGGGTTCAACTGGATAGGCTAACAAAAGCATTAAAATGCAATGACACTTACATTGTCGTCGCATTTTGTGTGCCACTGATAAGGCTGCCTGAAGGCTGACGCAGACCTACAATTCGAATGTAACGTTTTTGCATTCGAATGTGGATTTTTTTTTTTTAATTCGACGGATATTCGAAGTTCAAATTTTTTTTTGACAGCCCTACGTGTCAGTGTGTAAATGAGTGACAGTTTTGTCTACTATACTCAAGTATGCACTTACGGTGTTTTCAGCATCTTCGCTTCATAAGGATGTGAACACATGAACGTCATCTCTCATGCTTTGAGAGTTACTTCACAAGCATTTCATTTTATAAAACTATTGTCAGATACACAAGGAAACTAGAGCTGCAAAACGATTAATCGCATTCAAAATAAAAGTTTGTTTACATATATGTGTGTACTGTGTATATGTATTATGTATATATAAATACACACGCATATATGTATATATTAAGGAAAAATATGTTAGATTTCTATAAAAAATATTTATATTTACATATAATATAAATTATATACAAGTATAAATATAAATAAATACAAATATAAAAAAATATATATATACATATATGTGTGTGTACTTATATATACATAATAAATATACACAGTACACACACATATAGTATGTAAACATAAACTTTTATTTTGAATGCGATTAATCCGATTAATCGTTTTGCAGCCCTAAAGGAAACTCAAACGTTTTCACTACAACCTACCAAAATAAACATTTGGTTTAATTTGAAGAAAGTATGACTTACTTCTCAAAGTAATAATAACAATAACAATAATACAATTTATTAAAACATATCTGAACGAGTATCACATAATTTTCCGTCCACGTTTTGATTAAAATGGTGAACCTCAGTTGTGCAGCACTTATTTTGCCAAAAAATTAAATGAATTGTTTTCATTTAATTTGATTACATAAAAACAATAATTAAAAAGATTCATTAAATTTTATTAAATTTAAACGAATTTTTTTATTAATTAATTTAATTAAATACATTTTTTATTAAATTATTTATTTTTTGATAATAAATTTATATTAAAAACATAGAAGCCAGAACAAATAAAGCAGATAGGCTAACATAGGTATTTTTAAATTTGAATAATCAATCATGACTCTGAATAACAATATATAAAACTAATTATATAAAGCTTGTCCACCTAACTAATCAACTCATCAGTTGTTGGACCAGTCAACCTTCATGATCCCAACGTAACCGGTACTGACCATTAACACCCTGATTATGAATAGCTCTGAACGTTCAGAAACCTTCAAGCAATGCCATTTTAAGAACCATCCCACTTGAGATCAAAGCAGACAGTTCACATAATAGTAAAACTGACTATTGCATGGCCTTATGCCTCAACATGTTTCCAACCTAGCTTTGAAAATTCAGCTTCAGGGCATTGTGATCTAGACAATTGAACTGTCTGTCCTCAGAACTGTGCGTGGTAAATGGCATCTCTGTGAGAGGTCCAGGTGCATTTTCATCAGGTCAAAGCATGCGTGAGTGAATACAAAAAAAGAAAACAAAAAGGCCGATTCCTGGGAAATGAAGCTAATTGTCGAGGGATATTACTATGTCTACACAGTCTCAAAAATAGCTAACACTAAACCAAGGTGGTTGAAACAAGATGATTACAGCACATGGTTGCCAATCCCAAAACTTTACAGTCTGTGCATGACCTAAGAGTCACGATTCCCATTTTCTCTCCCAGAAGAAACAGGAGGAAGCTGTCTATGGCAGGGACTAATCTAATGCATAGAGAGGTCAAGCCCAGCATCTGCACTCAGCCATCAATTAATGTTGTGAAGAGAAAAAAGCTCCAGGTCTCTTTTAAATGGGAAGGTTTTATGGGAAGATATGCGTTTGCTATAAAGACTGTAAAACAGCAATTTAATGACACATAATTGCTCAGAATACAGAAAAAACTGTTTAATGGGAAATGTAATTTTCCTTCAGATGATAATGATCTCTGCTTTTTTTCAAGGGAAAAAGATTGTATTCACCATTTAAAAGTTTTGAGTCAGTAAGATATTTTTAAAATGTTTTGAGCCTCTTATGCTTATAAACACTGCATTTATTTGATTAAACATGCAATTAAAACAGTAACATTGTGAAATATCATTGCAATTTAAAATAATTCAAAAGTTTTTATATATATATATATA